AAGTACCCTATAGGCGGATTCATGCTGACGTCATTGTTTACATTTTTGCTCATTTGCATACGGCTTTGCGTAAAGAAGGAAGCATGTTAGATACAAATTGACTTCAGGCAGCTAAAGAGCTAGAAAACCTTAGTACATGGTGAAATTTTTAGCTCTTTGGGTGTAATATTCAAGGAGAAATAGTCCATCAAAAACTGCAAAATTTCTGGGTGGCAAAAGCGCTAATGAGCTCATACATTCTATGTAAAATTTTGAGTTTTTAAACCCGTGTTGCACAAAAAGTATTCAATGCATCAGGCTCGTATTCATTGGCCGAGTTAATCGTACTTTGACCTTTCGATATTCAGAACTGATTTATTTTTAGCTCCATCAGAAACTGAATTGCTTATGCTAATGAGGCAAATATTGTAAACAAGGATTCCCCTATAAGAGCCAACTCAGGCTTACTCGGAGCAAGCTCCGAGTCATTAAATTTTCGTGAATCCCCATTAATCAGCTCTAATTGAGATTTTGTTTAAGTAACATGCAATCGTCTTTCTGCCTTGGTTCAACCGAGGTTTAACAGCCCTTTACTTTGGACCCTAATAAAAACTGAAATAAAGGCCCTGTTTAGAGAGAAGACCGCGTAAAGAATGCAGCTACATCTAGCAGCTGAAAATTAGAACTCACACATACAAATGAAAATTATCTGAAATAGCACAAAGCGGAAAAAGGTGTTTATTGGTGTAATATTTACGATAATCCCTAGGGTGTAAAAAATGATTAATGTGAAGTTCAGAATAACAAATGAAGAAAAGGAAGAGGAAATGAACAATTTCCACCGAAAAATCCGAAATACTTTATTTTAGGCCGAGCATAAAATATCAATGATTTAGATAACAGGCTACGATTAAATTTTGCTAAATTTTGCACTTACGTCCCGAGTGGAAACTACAATTCTCTACCACATTTCCATAATGGACAAAAGGCAATCAAGTTTACAAGGTGAACGCAAAATTCCTTTGTTTCTAAATAAACGCTTTCTTCGGTTGCACAGAAAAGCAAATCATTTCCCGAAAAATTTTGATGTGCTTGCGATCAAAGGAGCTTCAAACTTGAAAATAAATAAAACAACAAATGAAATGTTTGTAGCGGTCTCATCGAAAAATCTCTATTTCGGACCATTTTGTAAACATGCTTTGTCTAGTCACATCAGGCTATTTATATGAGTAGCACACCTTTAGAATTTTTTCCCACAGTAGTTTGTTCAAGTCGTTCGAGTCTAGTTGGACAAAACTTCCTGCACGAGCTTTTCATAGTCTATCATCCCCTTGGTCTCGAACATCCCGACGATATGTTCGGCCTGAGCCTCAGTGAGTTTGTCTCCCAGTGCAGTCAACATGCGTCGAAGCTCTGCCGAACTGATGTACCCGTTACCATCGCGATCAAACATCTTGAGCGCTCCAATAAATTCTTCTTCACTACCAACTTGCTTCTTGGCGAGCGTTACATAAATGGGCAGGAATTCCTCAAAGGCGACCCGCTTCTCCTTCATCGACTTTAGGTTTTCCTTCACTTTGTCAAGATCTTGTTTTAAAGGATTCAGTCCTACAGACCTCAATAAACCTGGTACTTGACTCTTGTCAACTTTTCCATCGCCAACATTATCAAACAGACTGAAGGCGTCTTTAAATTCCAATATTTGCTCTTCTGTTAGGTCGGTCATTGCGTTTCTAAAACTCTTTCTAAGTATTCTCAAAAGAGCCACAAGGTTGTCTCGCGGCTGTTTGCGTGTCCAGGTGCCTCGCAAATTATTGTATTTAATTATTACAATTTAATTTATGCCATTGTTTTTATTTGCTCGCGGGCGCAAGCTTTGATTTTAAAAGCGACACAATGATGGACAGATAGAACCTTGTAAAGTTGCTATTCTAAATGGACGAAAAGAGTGGATATTGGCTTTTAGTATAATTTCAGAGCTGAGCAAAGAATTTCCAGCAATCTGATTAGCCGAGCGGTTCCTTATATGACGCTATGTAAACCGCTCCGCGCGGTTTATATAAAATGTTAAACTAAAATGTTAATAAATGTTACTAAAATGTTATGATTTTAGAGATTTCTCTGTTGTTCAGCTCTGAAATTATACTAAAACAATTATTCGCCTCAGGTTCGGTGAAGAAACAATCGATACTTACTCAGGCTGTTACTGCTCGCTACTTAAAGGGATTCTCTTTTTTATTGATCATTAAAAATACACAATTATGTTGCGTAGGTTCCATCCTACCTTAGTACTAGCCACGCCTAACAAACTCCTTTGTTTTCATAATGACCTCACCCACTGCCACAAACAAACCGTCTCTTTTCTCAGTTCTATAGCTTACAGCTATTTTCCTCTTCATTTCATGTTTTCTTCCCCCTTCTAGCTACAGCATATCTGGCCTAACATGTTTCTTTTCGTATGTTTATTTTCATACTGTTGCGTTGGACAACGCTCAGTTTACAGAGTTTCAGGCATGATCTCTTTTAAGTAGCAAAGCCATAAACTTTTGTTATCTGCACACCTCACTCGCGCAGGTAATCAACCTCGTTCCCTGGGCTTTTCCCTTTTTGAATATTTTGGCGGGCGGGAAAATATTCAAAAAGGGAAAAGCCCTGGGAACGAGGTTGGCAGGTAATGTTCAGAACTCTATTATGGATGTCACCATCTCCAATCCGCAAAAGGAAATCCTTTCTTGAAACATGTTTCATTTAATATTTGTTACTGAGAACAACTTTACAGGAAAGTCTCCTCCTGTGTTTATTTTAAGTGTTAAAAGAAGGCTTTTAGCAAATATTTAAAGTGCTTGGGTTAAAAGTTAAGATAAGTTGTTCTCGAGGTCTTAATTCACCATACAAGCCTGCAGCCAACAACAACAACAACAGCATTTATTTAAACACGATAAAAAAATTCAGCAAAAGCTGATGTGGTCGTGTACGAACAATAAAATTAAATTCCTAACTAAATACAATAAAACTAAATTCCTAACTACTTATAAGAAGACTAATGTAAGATTTCTACATATTTTCAACAATAAAAATTCTACATAGTACATCATTATAATATACGTGGCTTAAAAATACACTTGAGTGACTTTTTAAAAGCGTCAACGTCTTGAATTGATCTCATTTGATTTTCCAGAGCGTTCCACCGAGTAATTGACTTGTATGAGCATGATTTCTTGACCATATCGGTCTTAGGTCTAGGTAACTTAAATGTCATTTTCCTCCTGAGGTCC